GTATTCTATGTTGACGACGTTTCGGCTTTGTGTCGAGCAGAGCCGAGATTGACGAAGGTTAAAAGAAATAAGTGGGTATGAGATGGTGACAGGGGCCAGGATCAACCGTGATAAGTCTGTGGGCTTGCGGTTGGGTGCGTGGAAGGGAGTTTTCTCTTCCCGGACCTTTTCCTCTGGACGGATGGGCCGATCAAGATACTCGGCGTCTGGTTCGGTCCTGATCTCCAGTTGAAATGAACTGGTCGGAGGTACAAGGGAAGGCCGAGATCGCGGTTAATCTGTGGTCTCGGAGGAGACTTTCCTGAAGGAAGGGCGGAAGTATGTGTTTCAATCTATCCGATCCTCCTCTACCGACTCTCTGTGCTTCCACTCCCCGCATGCCCGACTAATGCAATTAGTCAGGACCTTGTCTCTCTTTCTTGTGGAGAGGCAGCCCTATGGTATGTCGCGAGGTCTGTTGCCCCATCCTCTGAGGGCGGTCTGGGGATGCCAGCATTGAGATCCGTCAATATATGCTTCTGCATTACCTTTAGACCGAATGTGTCGTGGTCGAATGAGGAGGGTTTTTGGAAAGAAGACGTCCAGAAACATTTTCCATCCCTGAAAAGTGTGCACTCGTGTGAACAAGAGGCCGGCCGTTTACCACGTGCCGAGTGCTTTTATCGTGAATGTCGTCGCGCTCTGAAGCTCCTCTTACGGGTTTCGATGGTCCTCCAACGCCCAGGCGTTGTCGCAAGGCATTATATCAAGTTTTAGTTAGGGGTCCGTACAAGATGATCTGATTGGCGAGCTCGGTCTTACGAAGCTCGCTTATGGCCTTAAATGTCTCAATAACGATGAGGCATCACCACCTGGCTGGTGATTCGTAAAGCCCTCTGGGTCAGCAAGAGACTTTGTTCAGCAGGCTTTTGTCCAAACTGTCGGAAGTCGAGACTATTGGTCACGCCTCTTCAGTGCAGGGGTGATAGTGCCGTTGTGCAAGTTTCTTGAGGGCCTCATGGTTCGCATGCTGCATGGAAAGGTTTTTGTCCTGGATGCCAGAGCTGTTTGTAGCAAATGTGGTGCCGCAGATGACGAAGGCTGAACACTGTGTTCTGTTGCTTACTAGGGTTATGAGAGTCGTGATTTGGACGACGCGTCAGAAGGATTCCATGAGGGCGAGAAGTTCACTTCTTCCCAACTGATCTTGTTCTTTAAGCATCAGCTTAAAGTCAAGATCAGGACGGAAAGGCGGCGGCTCACCTCATCGGAATTCAGCAAAGGTGGGTGATTCTTGGTGCGAATGTGCTGAGTAAAAGGGCTGACCTTGAGTGGCATCTATGCCGGTTAGGCATTATGATATTGTCCTGGGTTGAACATAGGCAACCCATCCCGGAGTTAGGTTAGATTAGGTTTTTTGTATTTTTCTTTTAGTTTTTCTATTCTGGTAAACTTAGCTGGGTGTATTTGCTCATTGGTCCCCTTTTTTATTTCTGTCCCTTTTTTTTTTTCTTTAGTTTAACTCCCCCATCCCTCCCCCGTTTTTTTTAGGTGGTCAGTAATGTCAGTTCTCTGGTAGATGTGGGGCGCCTTTCGTTTCGTGTGTGTGTTTTTCGTAAATGTTGTGTATAAATGAGTGTGTGCCTGTGTGAGTGCTTGGGATGAATGAGTGTGGCTTTATTTTCTTCATAAGTCCCGCATCGATTTCGTCCAGTTAACTGATATTTCTGCCACATTCAAGAGTTTGTGGGGGCTTTATTACTAACACTAATTTTATTTGGTTTCTTTGTAAATATATTTTGTCATTTTGTATAATTTCATTGGGGTTCATTTTTAAAAGTTGTTGTTTTTTATGCCTCCCCACGGACAAATATTTTTGTACATAAGGGGATTATTTAGGTTTTCATGGAGTCAAAGAGGCATTTTGGTGTTTGTAGTAAGAAAGGTATGGATAAATGTGTTGTTTTGGTGAAAGGAATATTGTTCCTGTTTGATAGGGTCAGTGATTGTATTAAGTTTAATCTAAGACTAGTGATGACCGTCTTTTTCCCCAATCCCCTTTTCGGCCTTGTGCCACATTTGTACATATGTGCAATAAATAATAGATAGTAGAGATTAAGAAATTGAATCCAGAGACTCTGCCCGACTGCGATTTAGTCAACCCATTATGCAGGAACAGTCTTCCCAAGAATATACCAAACTAACTGTAAATATTGTGTACCTATTCTTTTGTTTCAATACATTTTGTTAACGTACATTTTATGTTGTATTATTCCATGCTTATTTAAGCTTCAACAATATATATATATATTACTTATATTTTGGGTTGACAGCGAAGTTTTAAAAAAAAATCTTGTTCTCGTGAAATATATTATTGTCGGGATGAAACATTATTGGAGTTAAAATAAATGAATTGTAGTTTCTTTCTTTACTATAGAGTATTTATATGTATTTCTATACAATCGCTTTATATATATATATATATATATATATATATATATATATATTGTTATGAGAAAAATACGCAGGTGTAGACCTAAAGAAAGCTTTTATTCAATCGAGAATACATGGTCCGCGTATAGTGTCATTTTATAATCACAGTAAACATAAATAGCTTTTTCAAAGAGTTGAGTAGCACAAAAAGGGAGACCAAGATTCTTCATAACACACACACACACACACACATATATATATATATATATATATGTATATATATATATATATATATATATATATATATATATATGTATATATATATTGTTATGACAAAAAAGTACTGATAATATAAGGCCTGCGTATATTGGTAATTTATCACAGTAAACAGAAATAGCTTCTCAGACATGAGAGTAGTACACCAAGGATTAACCATACTTTGATTATTCATATATATATATATATATATATATATATATATATATATTCAATATCTTATTTTCCTATATTAAATTCATATCTAATCACCCAGGTATTTGAAATGTTCGGTATTTACTAATTGTATATGATAAATTTTTCTGATGAATTCAGGTTACGTGTCTAAGCCAAAGTAAAAACATTATATTTCTCGCAAAGTTTGGTTGATTTTGTTTAGCGGCATATCAACCATTACGGTTTATTTAATACGTAAATCGAAATAATTTGAAGGCAATTTTATCACCTCAACAACAAATCAAACGTATCGATGCTCATATTACTATGAAATATGTATTATTGGCTTTTTTCATATAGAAAGATGTATTGCGGGTATTTTTTTTATAAAGAATATATTTTTATGCCTTTATAATTTTTATTTTGTTTGTGTGTGTGTATGTGTGTGTTTACTATTTGACCGTAGATCCGGGTCAGGGTGGATCTTAGAGCAACATTAATCAAAAGATGGTTCCATGCTCATCAAATCCTCGAATCTCCCAAATAAAGGACTTACTACCGGATGTCGTTTATCTTCATACCAAAAAAATTACAGCGAAGGTAAAAATAATTTTTTATTTGTGTTAAAAAAAAGTGACTGTCTCTCGACAAAGAATTTATGTCTGTTTAGCAAACAACCAATCAGAGAAAAGAAAATAAATTTAAAAAAAATTTCTCTTGCTTTTTTACCTCTGGAATTTTTGTTTTTTTTAACTGTCTCTTTTACTCATTAGCTGTCTATATACACAATGATTGCCGTATCTATCTATCTATCTATCTATCTATCTATCTATCTATCTATCTATCTATCCCAGCGTTTCTTTCTTTCTTTCTTTCTTTCTATCTAGCTATCCCAGCCTGCCTTCCCATCTATCTATCTATCTATCTATCTATCTATCTATCTATCCCAGCGTTTGTTTCTTTGTTTCTTTCATTCTTTCTTTCTTCTTCCCAGCGTTTCCAGCGTTTTTTCTTTTCTTTTCTTCTTTCTTTCTTTCTCTCCCAGCCTGCATTCTATCTATCTATCTATCTATCTATCTATCTATTGATATATACACTATCGGCCATAATATAAGGAACGGAAACAACAAGTTTTTTTTTTAAATAAAGATTAAATAGAACAAAGGAAATAAGCTACTGGACAAAAGTTAAGGAACGATCTTGTTAATACTTGATTAACTATTATGTAACTTTGTATAATATTTATGCATTTCATCCTAATCTTTATTTGGTAAAAATTTCATTGCTAATCATGCATTACTATTTAAGTAATACATATATTTATGTCTTTGTTGTTTCCGTTCCTTATATCATGACCGCTATATATATATATATATATATATATATATATATATATATATATATATATATATAAAATGAAATAGAATACGCCCAAGTATTTAGTATATTTTCTGATTATACGTTATTTGTATAGATACAATGTCTTTAAGCAAATGTTCTGTTTTTAATTAAACAGCATTAATTACATTTACCGACTTAAATGTTATAGCTTTCAGTTGGTCTCCGTGAACTGTGATCACATCTATCATTTGGTCTCCGTAAACTGTGAGCACATGTTTCATTTGGTCTCCGTGAACTGTGCTCACATCTTTTACTAGGTTTTAATGAACTTTTCTCACATTTTTCAGTTGGTCTCCGTGAACTTTCAGTAAGTTTTGATGAATTTTAACGGATTATTTTATTTCCCAAGGAGAAAGCCAATGCCGTGGAGGTTTTATCCGCATTTCTATGCCAAATATCTTTTTGTCAGATTGATATTTAACTGTTGTCAGTAACGAGGCTTGCATAATTGTAGGTTACTGAAAGGAAATTTTAAATTTTCACTGCCATGATGCCAGCATCTATCTCTGACGTAAAATATTGGAAACATTAATTCAGTTACAGCACTCATATTTATGAATGAATGTCGTCAGTCCAAAATTTATTTTTAGACGCGAAGTCTTGAATTACTCTTTGAATTTATGCAATCATCTATTTCGAGAATATTACACTGAAATAATGTCCACTGTTTATAAGATCAGGAATATTATTAATTGTTTTATTTTTTAGGGATAATAAGATGTTAATGGAGCTTGTAAAAAGAAGAAGAAAAGAGGTCACGATGAAGAGGATTGAGGAAGAAGAAAATTAGACAAAGGATGTATGAAAAGACATTGTAAGAATAAAAAGCAACTCGAAGAAAAGGCAAGAAGATTAAAGAAGAAGAGGAAGGCAAATTGAAGAAAACGAATGAGAAGAAAATTAGTAAATAAGAAGAAGAAAAAAAGAAGATCGAGAAAATATTTTATAAAGAAGAAGAAAAAGAAAAGAAAAAAAGAATGAGAGGATATTTTACAAATAATAAGAAGAAAAAAAGGAAAATGAGAAAACATTTTGCAAGTAAGAAAAAGAAGAAAAAAGAGGAAAATGAGAAAAAAAATTACAAGGAAGAAGAATAAAAGAAAAAAAGAAAATGAGAAGAATTTTACAAGTAAGAACAAAAAAGAAGAAGGAAAATTTAAATGGAGCAAGAAGACAAGGAAGAAGAAGAAGAAAAAGAAAAAGAAGAGCAATAAAAAGAAAGAGGAAGAAGCAAGGAGACAAATGGGAAACAATTTAATAGTATGAAGAAGAAGAAAATAATAATAAGAAGAACAAGGAATAATAAAAAGAACAATATGCAAATGAAGAAAACGGAAGGAAAAGAGAGGAGAACAAGCCGAAAAATGAATGAGAAGAATGAAGAATGAAGAATAAAAAGCAGATGGAAAATAAAACTGAAAAAGTAATTGAGGTCAAAGGAAATAAGAATATAAAAGACGAATGAAGCACCTGAAAGAAAATGGAAAAAAAATGAATATAAACATAGGATGAGAGTCCGAGGCATGAGAGACATTGTAAAGATAAAAATAAAATTAAAGAACAACCGAGACTAAAATAAAGAAGAATGAGAAAAAAAATTACAAATAAGAAAAAAAGAAAATTAGAAGAAATTTTACAAGCAAGAAGAAAAATGAAGAACGAAAAATTAAATGTCAGAAAAAAAAAAGCAGGAAGAAGCAAGCAGATAAGGAAGAAAGTGAAGAAGACGAGAATTAAAAGAAGGAAAAAGAAAGTGGAAGAAAGATGAAGAAAAATGGGAAGCAATAAATAAGCATGTAGAAGAAGAAGATGATCATGAAGGAATAATAAAAAAGACTATTTGAAAATAAAGAAAAAAGAAGGAAAAGAGAACAAGCAAAAATAATGAAAGAGAAGAATGAAGACTAAAAAGAAAGAAGCAGATAGAAAATTAAGCTGAAAAAGAAATCCATGTGAAAGGAAAAGACGAATGACCCACATGAAAGAAAAGGGCAAAACAGAATATGAAGAAGAAACAGAAAACAAGTAGGAAAAAATAAAGAAGAAAATGAAAAAAAAAAAAACAATCCAGGCAAGAAGAAAAGAAGAATAAAAAGAAGAAAGTCGATGCAAGAAGAAAGGTGAAAAACGAAGTGGAATTTCCAAGATGGCAGCCATGAACGATGAGAACGTTGTTCATGAATGATCAAAATTAGCCCACGGAGGTAGTCTGTTATTGTTGTTAGCAGGAGTTAATTAGGATCATTCACTGAAAAGGCGCCGAATCTGATTCGAGAAAATACTCTTCTAAGCTCGTTATCTAATATCACAAAGACACTCGCCGAATCAGCCAATAATGACGCAGAGATGCCGGGGTTGAGTGTGCAAATCTGTTGGGAGGAATTAAGGTTTTCCATGCTGACAAGTGAGGTCAAAGTAGACATGACAAAAATATGAGACGACTAAAACAACTATTTTGAATACTAAGCGACAATAAGTTATTTGTTACTTTCAACCTGGTTGGTTGCTTGTCTGTGAAGGTTTATAATGTGTAGAGATCTGTCGATTTTCTGTCCTTCTATCAGAGTGACGTTCGCCATCTATCTATCTATCTATCTATCTATCTATCTATCTATCTATCTATCTATCTATCTATCCCAGTCTGCTCATATCTCTGGCTGTCTCTCTGTCTCTCTGTGTCTGTCTCTCTCTCTCTCTCTATATATATATATATATATATATATATATATATATATATATATATGTATGATTCAGTCTGTTCATATCTATCTTTGTTAATATCTATTTATCTAGTACGCTCTCTCTCCCTCTCTCTCTTTATATATATATATATATATATATATATATATATATATATATATTATGGACTCTCCTGTCGGTCTCGACGTATGAGATTCGATATTTTAAATTAAAGTTGACTTGAGGTGTTAGTCCTCCATTTTCTTTAAGCGAAATTTTAGAATCTAGGAATATCCTAAAATTTCGCTTGAAGATGAAAACGACTAAACACGTCAATTCAACTTAATTTTAATAATTATCTGGATGATTTCGGCTCGTTTTTGAAACATGAGAACTCTTATGTAGCGAAGGAATCATATTTTAAACAAACAAATATCATATATATATATATACATATATATACACACATATATATGTATATATATATGTAATGTATGATATATATATTATATATATACTATTATATATATATTATATATATATATATATATATATAGATATATAGATATGAATATATACATATTTATATATATATATATATATATATATATATATATATATATATATATATATATACATAAAATGTATGTGCTAGACAGATAGATATGAATATATATATATATATGAAGAAACACATATATACATATGAACATATATATATATTTGTTCATGAACATATATATATATATGTTCATATCTATCTAATACATTTTATATATATATATATATATATATATATATATATATATATATATATATATATATATATGAACATATATACATGTCTGTTCATATGTGACACGATTTAGGGTTGCGTGAAGAAAAAGAGGCGAGAATTAATTTAGGTGATAAGAAGCTATCACGAAAAGACACTGAGCGATGTTATTTTTTCTAACAAAGAAAAGTGGTAAAGATTTTATTTTCATTAGCGAAGAAAGTAAGATACCAGATTTGATTTCATTTATGTTACGATGCGGCGAAAGAAGATAGCCGTCTGCCCATGGCAATAATGAAAATTTCAAATTGGTCGAGTGGCCTACGGGACAGAATGATAAGAGATAAAAATTAATTAGGTCATGCTCTGACCGCGAAAAAGTCTGCTGGACCACCCACAAGTTGGAAAGAAAGATAGATTAAACCATTAACTATCGTCGGAGATAACATTGGTTTGAAAGAAAAACACCTGTTTTATTGTCCAAACCTGGACATGATAGAAATTATTTTATTGGAACGGATAATTGGCACCAGGGTGCAAAGTCATTGATGCTGGCGAAAATCTCGTTGACGATTTCCAGACGGCGTTCGGTTAAGATTAGAGGCCACACCGCGAATCGTAGGGGTCTGTTCGAGGAAAAGAAAGAAAAGAAAAAAACAATAATTTTTTTCCTTTGAGCGATAATTAGCAAACACCAACGCCGCTGAGCGTTCATTGGCAGAAGGGTGGCGTGAGCGGTAGGCGAAGGTAAACCAAGAAGAAGGAGGGGAGGCCTGCTGACGCCCCCTGAAAGGATTGGGTGAGATAACCATATGAGAAAGGAAGAATTTGGGAGGACGATTTCCTTAAACTAGAAATTAAAGATTTCCAAAAATGAAAAGTAATAAATTTTCCTGACCGAAAACAAAGAAAACCCTTAATGCGGATTTAGAATTATCAAGGAACCTAAAACCCCGACAAGCCCACCCCGGTTTTGGCCGGCGTCCATATAAGCAGAGTCGCAGCGAGTGGACGGCAGTTTGCAGTTGGGGTTGAAGTAAGACAGGAAAGCAGTTGAGCGGTGAACTCCGAGAACCGCCTTGCAGGAACCTGACTGAAAGATCCACGCATTCTCGACCTCAACTTCTAACCAAGAACAATTTATTTTTGAAGAACGACTTAGACACACACCACCAAAACAAGTTTTACGAATATCACCTGAAGATACACCAAAAACCAGTTATCGAAAAACAACTTAAGATGTTAAGACTCGCCTAACAAACGGAAAGTGTCACGTATCCATATTAGCGGTTTGGGAGAAAGACGCAGTCCTGTATTCAGCAACCAGATATAAAAATGTTTGTTATCCTTTTTTAACACATTTAAACTTTTCGAGTTGTTACTTCATTTTCTTTTACATATATTTGTGCGGTATTACCCTTGTCAGGACTCGACTTGCATTACGGCCCGGTGACTGATTGATTTCGTCTACCTAAGATCAAATCACAACGCGGGTAGGTTATACTAGAAATCAAAACAGTTACTTCGGTAACCAGACGTTGGAGGCGAGCTGGGAACGACAAGGCTGATACCGAATCTAACCAGATTCCCATCCGAATCAGCAAAAGGTTAGAACGTCACATTTGGTCCCGCGACCAATACCAAGTCACATTGGTCGTCGCGGGACAAGATAGGACGGCAACGGCGCGGAGACAGACGGGGTGACGTCACAATTGACGCCGCGACCAGGACAGCACGGCGGGCGCGGAAGCCAGGCAGACGTCACATTTGGCGCAGCGACCCGGGGTGACGTCAAACATATCTATCTATCTAGAACTCTCTCTCTCTCTCTCTCTCTATATATATATATATATATATATATATATATATATATATATATATATTCAGTCTGTTCATATCTATCTATCTATTTCTAGTACACCTGTTCATATATATACAAAGCTCGGAGCCCACTCGAAATATAAAGTCACATTAACGTGTAGTTTATATGGTTTGGAGGGGAAGATAACGATTAACTCTCGACATGAACAGGTTAAGACTGAAGTCATCTGAAAAACATCAAACTGGGAGCAGTGTTTCACAAGAAGCTGTTCGTGCGGAAGTTACTTCCCACTGATGGAACAGAGAGGGGAATGATTGTGCTTCGCTACATTGTAAGTAGCACGGTGGGTCCTGGACATGAAAGTTAAATCTGGCGAAACCCGGGAATGTAGTTCGTCCGAGCACTTTCCATGGAAGTACTGATAGAGCAGAGAGGGGCTCGGCCCATCCGGCCTGTGTCGTTGGAGGGTGGAAAATATTTCTTCAACAAGGACTTTTTTGACTCAAGACTGCAAAGTGAGGACTGGACAGTTCCCGCCCAAATTTGACAACAGTACGCCATTTTCGGTTTAATTTGGCTCTTATAGAGATAGAGGCCAGTATGAAGTAACAAGAACTTACCGAAGAGGCACAGGAAGCCGAATTTTTACCTGCATCATTAGCGATGGATCGTATGTAAGAGTTCACCTTGAGGTCAAGTGTGAGTTTGAGGCATAATATTCTCTCAAAGAACGATAACTCCTAGAGCTAGAACGAAAGAGAGGTCAGCTGTCAATCTCTGTACGTCAAGGTTTTTCGATGAGTACCCGTATATCGTCGTATCATCGGCATAGAAGTTTACAAATCATGTTATATTCTTAGCCATATTATTTACATAAATCAGAAAGAGGTTTGGTCCAACATGTGACCCCTGGAGTACGGCTCTGTTGATAGCCAGGGCCACGGAAGACCGGTCGTTAATAAATACCTTCAGGGACCTAACTGTTAGGAATGATTTTATAATTGTAAAAATCCTTCCATAGCTGAAGAACATGCGTAGCAAAACTTTGGGCCATACCTTGGCAAAGGCCTGCGGGATATGCTATGATCCTCGAGGCGTGTGTGTCGTCAATAGCCTCATTAAATCTATCTATCTATCTATCTATCTATCTATCTATCTATCTATCTATCTATCATAGTCTTTTCACTATCTATCTGTTACAACAGGACTCAAGTATGAAGAGTTCTACGTTATATATATATATATATATATATATATATATATATGTATATGTATATATACGAATAGGGGAGTTATTGAAACCTGAAGGATAAAAAGCCAACAAAATGATAACAATATTGGCATTAAGTTAAGATTGATGATATTTATTATATATTAACCTTTTCACTAATCTGAACCACGATGCGAATGAATTTAAAATCGGAAATTTCGGACACGCCTATGTACTTTTACAGCGAGACGACGAATGAACAAAAAAAGTAGGTTTTACTCTTAAGATAAATGTTGTTTGCTGGAGGTTGAGAGATTTAATGAGTCAGTTATTAAAATTCGTGGAATAAAAAATAAAATGATAACAATATATATATATATATATGTGTGTGTGTGTGTGTGTGTGTACATACAGTAGAATCCCTCATATAAGGTATCCCTCATATCCGGAGTGCCTCATATCCGGAGTGCCTCATATCCGGAATTCCGCATATCCGGACATGATTTTGATGTGTATATTTGGACTATTTTGGTGATATGTAACTGCTTTAAAATTTCAGTTTTTCAGAAAATTTACTTTCGGTAATTGTTTATGCTTATTTCATGCTCATGGCTTGTATTGGTGCAAAAGATGATGGGAATCAGGGGAAAAAAACAACATTGGAGTGGGAAAAAAAGTGGAAATTTTAAACGGTCTAGACACTAGTGAAAGTTCATTGTAAGTAATGGTTTAGTTCAAAATAGGAAAGTCAACATTGCATGATATAAAATCTTCCAAAGAAACTGTTCTCCAACTTTCACATTGTCAAAATTAAAAAAATAAAATAAAAATAAAAAATAAAAACATGATTGTGATGAATCCTGGACTGAAATTGAAAAACCTATTGAAAAGATTATCAGTTTTATGGAAAGAAAGCCAGCATTCAGCAATGACGATTGCAATAACGCACGCAGGGTTAAAAAATGTCCTGCGTTTAAAAAATTTCAAGAACAAAAGCAAAACGAAATGCAGAAAAAAGTTTAGAATGCGATTAGAAGAGAAAGAATCATCATGCATTATTTTGTTTACTATAAAATATTGAAAATAAAAGTTAAAACTGATCTCAGTTCTTTTATTTTAATCTAAATATAACCCCTCATATCCGGACTTTGTAACCAATTCCTCATATCCGTAAGGACTTCTTAGTCCGGTTGTCATGGATTCCACTACTATATATATATATATATATATATATATATATATATATATAAGAATATATATATATATATGAAAAATATAGTCTTAAGGTATGCTATATTTATGGAATAAAGTTCTCAATATCAGAGATCGAGCGTGTAAATATAAAAGTGAACATAGAAGTCAACACTTAGAGGCAACAGTTTGTTTCATGCTATATGCAATCGTGGCCTGACTATTGCATATATATATATATATATATATATATATATATATATATTTAAAGAAAGCACAGTAAGATATATAAATCCGGTTTTCTTATAGATATTTTTATTTTTACAAAATAGTGCTCAATGTAAATTTACAGAGCATTAATATTATAAATTAATTGATTTAAAATATGGTTTATTCAGTACACAGTTCTAACCATGTTTCAAAAATGGAAGGTAAAAGCTTCTAATTTAATTTTGTAATTGAATTAAAGACATTAGTTCCATTTCATCCGCAAGCGAATTTTGGAGTAACTTTTAAAATTACTGGGTTTTACAGACACAGCAAAAATCACAATTCACGTTTCCAAGGATACAGAGAAATCCACTTCAACTAGACAAGGGGTGTCTGCATGTTCATTATGTCTGTATTTTGATGCATCAGTTATTAGTTACGTTTTGGTAGGGGTAGGGATGTTTTTTTCAATGATCAGTTAAATGCATGTTGTCTGGATTTTTTAAAAATTTTATTGTTAACGGCAAAAATTTTTACGGCATTTTTTCTATTTGTATATTTAAAGATTTTTTGGTGGTGTTTAGATTAGAATACGTTTTATTTAACTACGATTTAAAAAAAATTCACTTTTAATTTTTAATATATTATAATTCTTTTTAAAACAAGTAAATGTATTAGAATCACTTACAGTGTGTAAAATTATTTCCACATCAAGTATAAGTATGTATATTGCTAGGTCACAATTTTTTTAAAAATTAATATTTAAATATTATTTAAGTAAAATTTTTGACAATGACGGCAAAAATGGCTAATTAATTTCTCTGATTTAGTAAACTTTTATTTTTTATATATTTTATATAAATCCAGTAATATATAGTTTCTCATGTAAGTACAAAGAATATGGGTCATTCAATGGCTTACATCTTCTAGCTTTTCATATTAATTTCATTTTACTGTAGGTATTTTATTGGATTCTTTTAAGTACTTTTAGTATTTTGAGAGAGGTGTTTAGGTTAGAATACGTTTTATTTAACTACAATTTTAAAAGATGTTTAGGTTAGAATTCGTTTTATTTAGCTACAATATTAAATACAACTTTAAAATATTTTCACTGTTAATTTTAATAGACTATATTTTTTTTAAAATAGGTAAATGTATTAGAATTACTTATAGTAAGTAAAATTATTTTTTCATATCAAGTATAAATATGTATATTACCAGGTCACAATATTTAAAAATTTTATATTTAAATATTATTTAAGTAAAATTTATGACAATTACGGCAAAAATAGCTAATTCATTTCTCTGATTTAGTAAAGTTTATTTTTTTATGAACTTAGTAATATATAGTATCTCATGTATGTACAAAAGACATGGGTCATTCAATGGCCTACATCTTCCATGACCCATGTCCTTTGTACATACATGAGGACAAATGGATAAATTGAAACTATATTGGCTTACGCGTTTCGCCCTTCTAGGATTCCTCCTATCCTAAAACGATGGAAAGAAATACGTGTGTGTGTTTTTATGTGTATGCTCAAATCATTAGTACTTTCTCCTGCTTTGATGTCGTTTCTTGCGATGAAAGAAAAGAATGAAAATGAGTAATTTAAAAAAATGTCGCCATTATTTAATGTTTCTTTTCTTTGTTATTCTTAGCTGATGTCGAAAGTTATTTTTATATTCTCTGAGCCTTTTTCAATTGAATTTAAGTTAAATTCTTATCTTTTTTCAGAATACAAAAGATTCATATAGCATATTCCGAAATTCATTTGAATTAAATCCTTATCCAGTTTTTCAGATCGGATTGAAAGTAATCGGTTAAAATACTTTATATGTTTTTACGTCTGTCGTCAATATGGATATGAAAGAGGATGAAAAAAACCCAACAAACTTTTGAAGAAATATGTCAAATATAAATCAGTTCCATTGGAACTAGATTTGATCACGCGTTTTGCCTTTCTAGGTCTCATCATATCCAAAAACGAATGTATGGATGCTTTTTGAATCTGATGAAATCTACAAAGTCGAAAACAAATCTAGTTAAATGCAACGGGTTTCCATTTCAAATATCTCTTGAAATATATATATATATATATAACCAACCCTTCTCTGGGATGAATGGATTTCTCTGTATCCTTGGAAACGTTAATTATGAATTAGTGCATTTAAAACCCAGTAATTTTAAAAATAAGTTACTCCAAAATTCGCTTGCGGATGAAATGGAACTAATGTCTTTAATTTACTTACAAAATTAAATTCGAAGCTTTTGTAAAAATAAAAATATCTATAAGAACACCGAAATATACAGCTTACTGTTGTTTCTTTATACATACACACACACACACACACACACACACACACACACACACACACACACACACACACATATATATATATATATATATATATATATATATATATATATATATATATATATATATGCTGTGGGCCCAGAATAGGTGCGAAAGAAAATTCAGCAATTTAGTGAAAACATATTATTAACAAAAAAGAACGAATACAAAATTATTGCACGCCCGACTGACGGAAAAGTACAGTAGTCTACTCGTCAACTGTAGACAGCAATATTTAGTTGCCCCCACGAGGGTTACATGTGGCACAAGGCCGGTTTAACGTGGGATCTCCGAGCCCGGAGGCTCGGCCAGAAATAATACCTCTTTGAACCCGCATAAATGTGTTGAGGGGCAGTTCCTCTCCGCCCGAAGGCAGAGAGTTCGACTGTTTAGCTGTAACAGGTCAACTGTAGACAGCTCCCTTGAGAGGCATAATGTCCCCAGTATATATAGTAATAGGACGAATCCATTTAGTCCATAAAGGTAGGTCCCATAACACCCCCGTCTCGAGCTTTTAACTCCGCAGGAGTCTCAATATCGTCTCCTTTTTGAATTAATGACGAGAGGGTGGTGGACATCCACTTTCTTTTAGATCGTCGCGGTTCTGGAGCTGCTTGGGGTATTTGAATGTCGAAGTTGTCGTAAATGGTATCCATGACCTCTTCTTCCTGTGGAGTACTGATGCAGTCATCCAACAGTCGTTCCCTGATTTGATTCAGGTGTCTTTTATGAGAGAAACGAGGGCCTTGGATTATGTAGACCCTATTTCCAATCCTCTCTTTTATCTTGAAGAATACTTTTAACCCTGGGCTGTATTTTTTCCTTGGTACAATAGAGGTCGGACCTTGTTTTGTTTGTTTGGGCAGCAATTTATCAAAAACGGATCTTACTTTAGGCGCAAACATTATTTCTGCCGGAGATAGTGAAGCTGGCGCGTTAACATTTGGCGTGATCCTGTAAACTTGCAAAAACTGCTTGGGGTACCGCAAGCTTTTTTCAGGGCTCTTTTTAGGATGCCTACGAAGCGTTCTGCTTGACCATTCGACCTCGGGTGATATGGGGGGGGTCGTAATGTGTTTTATCTGAAAAATCTCGCAGAACTCTTTAAAGTCGGTCGAAGTAAATTGAGTTCCGTTGTCACTGACCAAGCAATCTACTACCCCAAAACGAGTGAATAATTCGTGAAGGTAGCTTATTGTTGCCTCCATAGTGGGATTTTTACATCGAAAAACTTCCGGCCATTT